TCTGAAGCAGAATTTCCAGGGACGTCCAGGCCCGATACACCTGGGTTAGAGGACATTTGGAACACTGTTCAGAAGCTCGGAAAGACAGGCAGTACTCGCCTGAGCGAGCAATAGCCCTCTGCTTCTCTAAACTTAATCCTGCACGCCAAGCTCACCTCAGCGTCACCGTTCACAAAGAACATCAATACCCAGAAACGTCAGTGCTCTTAAGCAGAATTTCCAGGGACGTCCAGGCCCGTATCGATACACCTGGGTTAGAGGACATCTGGAACACTGTTCAGAAGCTCGGAAAGACAGGCTAGCTCCCCTCCCATCTCACAACTGCGAGGAAAGCACTGCACAGATAAACTGTGGCTAAACTGTCCAAAATAGGGGCTTTCCTCAATTTTACTTTTATCTTCTGTCCTGAGCCTGCTTGCTCTTCTATAAAGTTTCCTGTTCCCGTTCTGTGGCCTAATGCCTGACTTCTCTCTGCCCAGCCCCCTTGTTTGGACATGTGTTTGGCTTGTGTGTGTGTGACTTGGGCAACACTGAAGAGGTAGAATCAAAGCCTTGCTGGCTGATAGGACTGGCACTTTCCAACTTCCCTTTAAAGGTTCCCTGTGGGAAGGCACAGGACAGGAGCTGGCTGAAGGTGGCCACCCCTGCCTTGACTTTTCCAAACAAATCTGAGCCCCCAGGTGTTCACTGGAATTGTTGTGCTTAGTCTTCAGACGTCCTTGCTTAAACGACCCTGCAGATGCATGTGTCTTCTCAAGTATGCTTACCCTACTGATAGTACCTAATAGTTAATTTTATAAAGCCCGAGAAGGCAGGCGAATGGGGAGGTTTGGTTTCTCAAGCCAAGCAGTCCCTCAGCTCTCTCTCACACAAACGTGTGTCAGAGTAACCATTCACCCGTCGCTCAGGGGCTGCTGGTCAGTCCTGGCAGTACCTAGTAGCATGTACTGCCTCAGGTCACGTAGGGTAAGCAATAAGCGTAAAGCAGTAAGACAGATTCCACAAGCTGCATGAGAAACATCAGTTTCACAGAGCAGCACCCCTGCTTTATGACAGGAAATCAGAAAAGAACAGAACTCCATAGCTCGTTAGCCGTGTACTCCAAGTTTCATTTCCATGTGAAACTCTGCAGTGAACTAAAAAGTACATCCACAGAGAAGCTCAGCTGAACTTG